TACGAATTCAGCACAGCCTGTCCCAGACTCTTTGCCTCTAGCTTCTAGCACTACTCTTCTTCAGCATTTAAGAGGAACTAACGCAAAATAATCACCGTAAAAACTTGTCTGTCTTTGCCCAACGTGCCTTTGCATTGCAAATTCCAGCAAGCCAGATGCACCATTTTGGCTACCATGAGAAAGGGGTGAGGGCAGCCATTTTGGAGGCAGTTGATCTTACCAGGTTACTGAGCAGCTGTATCTATTTAAAACGTTTCTAGGTGTAGTACCCATAGACAATGCTTACCATGTATACATCCACAGTGCCTGTATTGCTTCACAGGGTCTCCTGGTAGTGCGGCATGGTAGGAAGGATTTCAGACATGTTTAAGACAAGCATTCTTTTTTGTGTCTATCATAATACCTTTTAAATAAGTACAGGAACCTGTAAGCTCTTCCTGTTTCAGTCTAGTGATGTGCTAGCATCATGTAATTTGCATCTGACACACTTGCCAGGACTGACAGAGTCTGGGTGCGAATATGACCTTGGGCACAGCCAAAGGCACATGGTTTAAGTCAAGGAAAGGCAGTCATCTCTTTGCAGAGCTGATCTTGCAGCCTCGTGTTTCTGGAGCCATTATGTTAGAATAAATCAGAATAAAATGGAAGACCCTCAAATAGTATCAAGGGACTGAGCCAGAGAATACATCTAGTGAATTCTCAGACATGACTTACACTTCTGACCTTATTGTCTGTGTTGGCAGTAGAAATGAAAGTAACGTAGGAGTAGCTTCAACAGCTCTATACCATCAGAGGGTTGCTTTTTGCCAGAGAAATCCTCAAGGGCCATGTGCCCCACCTCAGTTGTCAGAGTTCCCTGGCAGATCTAACTGCAAAGGGCTAGAGTGAATAGCATGAGAAGGAAAGGAAGACATCTTCAAGGAGATTATGGTCAGTCTGACCACTTGTATAATCCACTGTGTTAAAAAAATATTCTGTATCACGGGTAGTTCATGAGCTCAGTAGAAGGCTCAGTCCTGCCAGGTTTGGATTAGCAGTAAATAGAGAAAAAAAATTCTACTGGAGGAAGGTAAATCCTATTTTCTGCCCTACTTTGTTCAAATTCTCGAAAAAGGAGCAGTGGTAATCATGGAGGAATTACAAGAAGAATTAAAAGTACTCCTGACCCCGTGGGGTAGAAACAGCCTCCACCAAAACTGGAGGAAGTTTTGATCTGACATACCCAGAACTCCACATTAACCAGTCAAGGTAACTCCAGATCTGGATCGACTTGCTGATCTGAGTTGCAAAACTCTGCCCCTTACATCACTACTTTTTTTTTTCTTGACTCAATACCAAGCTGCAGAGAAATTCCGAGGGAAATGCCTCGGTGGTGGTAACGCACAGTCGAGCTGGTGATGCTGTGCAGCACAGCAGCACTGCAGACAGCCATGGTTCTAGCATGGTGAGACCAGTACATTGTCTAAAAATGCCCAATTTCAGGGGATGTGACAGTTACACTAAGTTTGTTCTAGTTCTCAAGCTATTAATGTACTTTCCACTTCAAATACAGAAATTTCATTTCTAAATTAGGAAACAACCTTCAGTATGTGCTCACTGTATTTAAAACATCTTGAAATTATATGATCTGCATATAGATTTTACGCTGTCTGTAACTTGTCCTTCTAACTTTATTCTTTACAAACATTTCAAATCACTGGGGCAGGGTGGAGGCCTTAGGATTAATTTGCCTTTTTTCAAAATACTTCTGCACAAAACATCAACACAAACTTTAAACACTTAACAGGTTTTGAATTTGGGCTTTCTCAACGTTTTGTTTGTAACCCTGCTTTTTTTTTAATTACCTTCAGAGATGTATGTTTTTACAACACCTCTTCCAGTTTGAATTCGGTATTTAACACATCCTTCTACAGAGGTTGAGAAGTCTCCACCAGCATTGTATTGCATTATTTTCTGTCTGCTGCAGACAATGCAACTGCTGCTGCAGTGATGCAGTGGGAGAAAGTGTGTAAAGAACCGGATGAATGGCACACAAAATTATGTCACTGCGGTGATTTTGAATTGTGTAACAAATACACTCCACGGAAATAGACCTAGGTGTGAGAAATGGCCCATGGAATGTCTTCACCCTACACACGTACACACATTGCATTACCACCAAAAAATCACTCAGCGAGCCTTGGCACTGAAGCACTAATTTGTATTAGTTGTCCAAGATGCCCCAAGAAACCGAGTCCTTAATTTGCAACGTACCTGACAATCGGCCTGTCTAGGAGACACTAGATTGTGACTCAGGGTTAGCCCTTCTCTGGATGTTTCTTGTATCCACCTTTCCAAGGCCATGATCCTCACAAAATGCTTGGAATGCCCTTCCCTTTGTACAGACCAACTAGGACAAGCCAGCTTAAATATTACTCATTATTTAAGGAATACTTCAAGGAGTCATGCCTTGTGCTGGTGCTTGTGTAGTATCTCTCAGAGCTGTAAATCCACTACCATTGTCCTGCTTATTTTCCCCCTTCTTTACTAATAGGAGGGAGAAGAATTTGGACTCAAAATTAACACACAAATTTAAAAGTAGAAAGCTGTATGATAACTGCATGACCATTATATTTTGATTTTTCAAATAAAAGACGAGTTGAACCACCTCCCCTTTATAGTCCGATGCTGGAAAGCCAAGTACTCTGTGTGTTCATTAGTGATGGGAACCTAAAATGGTGAAGCACTAGACGGTAGGCAAAATCCCAGCCTTACCAAAACCAGTACCTTTTCCCCACTGACTCTGAAGGAATGAGGATTTCATTCCAGAAATTCAAACTGACAGTCAGTCAGGCAATCTGATTAGATGGGGAAATGTAAACTAGAAGCCATGTTTTCATAATGTTTAATCTAGGCTATATATAAAAATTATGTGATAGTATCTTGCTACTATCCTTTTCGTAATAGTCTGCAAATAAATACATATTTTCTGAGGCTCATGGCAAGATTTGAATTACAGTGGCAAAAACGATGCTTGTTTTTCCAGCATTGTGAGGGTATTTGAATCTGGTCCTGTGAAATTTCAGTTCAAAGTAAATCCAGATGGATTAAATCAAGAATACTGCCGAAATGCAGAGTGACTGGGGAAAAACGAAGAGGGAAGGAGTAGTCTGGATTGTAAGACCAAAACAAAAGATATATGGACATACAAAAAAGACAATTAGAAAATATATTTATACTAAATTAAAACTTTATTGACTAATGTTCTTCAGACAACATGATCCGACGGACTATGGTTGCATACAGGCAATGAAGTTGAACATAACAGTAGTTTAACATGGAATGTCAAACAAATTAATATAATGAATTAGATGAAACAATTTATCTGTGTTGCTGCAAAATGACACCAAGCTATCTATTTCCTTGGTCAATCTGTGTTCAGCTAAGAGGCTATGCAATTGAAGAAACTGGTAGATTTCTTTAGCATATATTTCAAATAAATTAGCTAAATTGTACTCTTTAAAAATCCTTTCAACTTCACTTGCATTTCAGACAAAATCTAAATGTAAACACTAAAGTTGCCAGAGCCATCTAGAAAGACCTAACTGTCAAACTCGGAGTGGACCTTACAGTTCAGTAAATGTGAATAACTAGAACAAGAAAAATACCAGTTACTGCAAAAGTCACGTAGGCATATTTTATTATTAATCCAGCACAAAGCATTTCTTCTAAGTTTCTCACATAAAAGACTAAAGCTTGCTTACAGTACTACATCTTCTATCATTCAAGCATCATTATTACCTATCAGGGATATTGGCTAGATGACCTAATGGGCCTTTTCCACCTCTAACTTCTACAAAAGAGAATCATTCATGCCAGCAAGAACATGGTTCACTACATCTTGGGCTTGATCCTGTAGCCTTCATTCAGGCAAAACTCCCATTGACTTAAAAGAGAGATTTTCCATAGCAAGACATCCAGGATTACGCCCTTTTTATTTTTAAAAAAGCATCCATTTAGGATACATGGAAAATATTCTATAGAATTAAAAAAATATAATGACATGTGCTTCACTTGCATTGAAGGAATTAGAGACTGTAAACACCATAGTGGCCCACATCTTCACAATATCCATGAGAAAGTGTCAACTGCAAGTAATCTATGTGCGTTTATTTTTCAACGTATGCTTCTGAGGGTGTTTTGTGTATACCTTTACCTCCACATCTACACATGCGTACACCCTTAATATACACAAAGGTGTGATAAAATTCACTAAAGGCAGTTGCTTCCCTTAACGCTTGTTAGTCTTAATATTTAAATCAGCAAGTGGCAGCAAACTGGGTTTTAAATGATGCTTATTAGACCGTATGTGAGCAGCAGGACACGGATATCGCTGTGGGCAAGAGAGTGTGGCTGACAGTTCTACGAGTGTGGAGCCATCCCACTTACGTGCATCACAAAATCTACCTGCGTGAAGGGCTGGAAAAGCAGGTGATAAAAGTATTTCTTAGTGGGCCATGTCTGAAATTTGAGTTGAATGGTTCAAAGGCTGTAGATTGTCCCCATAGGAGTCTTTCGACAACCTGGAGGACCACCCAGGAAAGTTTACCTTCAAAGTGCACTTTCTAAGAATGGAATGTTCTTGACAGGGAAATGATCAGAGGCAATCCTGGACTTTTTGCTTGTTGAATAGGAAAAACGTTTTCATCTTCAGGCAGCACTTCACCCTGACAAATATGAGTTCAGTTATTATTGGGTTTTAGTATTACAGAAGATTCTTTAGAAACAAACATGATAGAACACACATACACATACACTCAGATATTTACAGCCTTTCTAGAAAAACAACCCCCTACCTTAGTACTGACTACCTATCTTTTCCTTTTTTTCTTTTTTTTTTAGTATTTAAATTCTTTAAACCAGCTACATTAAATACCAACGTGTACTGTACCACCCCACACCAACCCCACATCCCCCCCAAAAAACAGCAAGTATTTTAAAAGTTTGTTCGCTTGTTTGTTTTTTACGATTGTTAAAATCTCCTGCTTGTGACTGTTAAGTACCACCTCCACTGGAACGCGATCGGTACTGACGGCATCTTCCAATGCACGTCGTTTCATAGTTGAGCAAGTACTGCAGCTGGAAGCCTAGATCTCCAGGTCGTCGGGTCGAGGCCTGCTGCTGGCTCGGCTGCTGGCTCTGCTGGGAGGCCTCTGGTCCACAATGGTGAGGGGCTGCAGCTCGTGTCCCGATGCCAGTTTTTTAGCGTTCTGGTGCTCGTCGGAGAAGTCGAAGGGCTGGGCGTGTGAGTTGGAGATGGTGCTGCCAGCCTGCCCCATTCTGTTCTGCTCTGCGCTGTAGTTGGCCCAGTTTTGCTCGCTGGCTTGCTTATTGTAGTTACGACAGGAGGAATTGTTCCTGTCTCCAGTAACGAGCTTGTACCCCGGGGGAGACATGGGAGACAAGGGGGCGGTCGGAGAGGAGCAGCCATTGTAGTAAGCGTATTTGGGGGAGCCACAGTCCTTGGAAGGGCTCATGGTACTGCTGTGGGAGTAGGGGTCGGTTTTCCCTTTCACGCGATCCTTGACACCCTTGAAGAACACGTAGAAAAGCTCGATGATGTTCAAGGCAAGAGACACCAAGGACACGACCAGCATGAAGAGAATGAAGATGGTTTTCTCAGTGGGACGAGAGAGGAAACAGTCCACTCTGTGCGGGCATGGGTCTCGCTCACAGGTGTAGATGGCATTCAGGCTAAACCCATAGATGTACCACTGTATCAGCAAGAAAGCCACCTCAAAGACAGATTTAAACAGGATGCTGATGATGTAAGTGCGGAGCAGCCCCCCACGCATCTTCACTTTGCCATGCTCTTCGATCCCATATTTGAATTTCTTAATTTCTATTTGCTTGAGATGCATATCCACATTCACACCATCATTTTGGACTACCTTGAGCTCTTCTTCTCTTTTGTTCAGCTTCTCTTCTTTCCTCATTACATAGAACACATGTGCCAGGTACAAAAGGGTAGGTACAGACACAAATATGATCTGCAGAACCCAGAAGCGTACATGGGAGATGGGGAAGGACTTGTCATAGCAGACGTTCTCACAACCAGGCTGTTGAGTGTTGCACCGGAAAGCAGACTGTTCATCTCCCCAAGCAGATTCGACTGCTGTCCCCAACAGCAAGATTCGGAAAATAAAGAGGACAGACAGCCATACTTTCCCTCCTGCAGTAGAATAGGCTTGAACCTTGTCAAGAAGTTTTCCCAAGGCACTCCAATCACCCATCTTCACAGGATGCTGGCTAAAGAAGGACACAAGGAAAAAAAAAATAGTGACGGTTAAGACAGAGCTTTAACACCTTTGATACAATGAATCACAGATCAGTGCTAATAGAGCAGTGATGTCAGCTTTAATTCACGTGTTTTAAACGATCTGAAGAGAAACCAGAGTTTTAGTCTGCAGGTGGAGTGGGAAGTCAGGGAAACTGAGAAGAGAAAGTAACATATAATGTCTTGGAGCATAATGAAAAAAGAGGTTTCTAATTTCACTCCAGTTTCCAGGCAGTCCATGACAACCCCCAGTTGCCACTGTGGTTGGCTCAGCTTCCTCGGTGGCAGCCTTAGCTCAACGATCCACACCTGCCTGGGGTGGCAAACAGCTGTGACACACCGCTGAAGCAGGGGCTGGAGGTACGTAGTGGCACTGCCCGAATACGCTAGGAATAAATGAGAGATTTCTCTCCTTCAGTGTGGATCGTTCATGGTAATTTTTACATTCACTCTTCAAAAGAAGAGGAAAGCAAACTGTAGTATAATAAGTTAACGTTAGGGTCGGATACCTAAAATTTTATAATTGCAAACTGTGTACTATTTTTCCTACAGCAACATTAAACTGAGCTCTTGCATATCACTACATTGTATGTAACACATATAAGAGTACAGTGCTTAATGATGTCAAGTTTATACTATGCTCCACTTCAGAAAAATCTTGCTTTCTAAATAAAGTTTATACATTAGTATTTGCAGCACAAAGTTAGTATTCTTTACCTACACTTTTATAAGGAACCAAAAATAGTAAATACACGAAGCACAGCTAAGCTCACATTAACATATTGGAGAAACTGGTTTCCTGTTTATCTGTGGCTTGCTTAATTTAGTGTAGTTTCAGCTTCGTATTTGCATCTTTTTGTATTTAAATTCCTTCACTTTGTTTTGAAAGGAAAAAAGATTTAGCAAGGAGAAAAGGTGAATGAGCCCCTTCTGTTTTTAAGGCAACTCCCAGCGTGCAGTTTGCATTCCAAGTGTTGAACACTGCAAGTTTAAATCGTCTCTCTGGACTTGAATTTTAAAGCGCACATTTCTGGGACAGAGGCAGCTTCTCGGGGATACCTGGAAATACAGAGGACGATATATAAGAAATTAAATGGTCTACCTGATGTTCTAGATTCCTAGGAAAAACTAGGATTTTTATAACTGGAGAATGGTAACCTGATCTGCATAAAAACTTACATTTTAACTTGCCCCTCACGAACCCACGTGTGAAATCGGGCACTTGAAAGGATATACAATCACAAAGTTTCCCTTTTAAAACCAATGCTGCTGGGTACTGATATTTGTTCCGTGCATGCTGAGTAATCCCTTCCTGGTATTAACAGTTTTGATAATGTCCAAATGATTTCCTCCCTACTGCATCATGGATATATTCCCTAGCGAAGGTCATTTATAGAAAAAGCCCTTTTTGGATAATTCATAAAATAGGAAATCTTAGCACCACGGAGATTTTCTTTCAAGAAGCAGTGAGTCACTGGAAACACAAGATTATAAATCTGGCAAACTTCATCATAACAACAGATGCCAAATAAAAACACACCGTTCCTGCCATTGGAAAGAGTCTGAGAGACTAAAGGGAAACAAGTGTTTAAAGTACTCGCTCCCATAGCTCCAAGATGCCAATTATCTTCGAACCCCTGCAGAATAACCCAGGGCCATCTCCTCAGTCCGCTTGCTCTGGAGTTCACCCACTGCGGGGTGCAGACCCTTCCTCATGTAATTAGCTCTTCACAGGAACGAAGCCTCGTCAAAGGATCAGCCCCGCTTCAGACTTTTAAATCTGGAAGTTTTAAGCGCGCAGCGTGTTTATCTCCGACACATCCCTGCAGCCACCCGTCCCCAGCTTTGGTCCTTGCCAGGAAAGGCTAGCTGGTCTCTGCCAGCTTGAGGTGGCAGAGCAGGACTCAGACACACGAGCGCACACCGAGGTCCCTGGAAAGGCTGGAATGGAATGTGACCACGTTCCTCCTCAGGCTGGGATTGTTAAAACAGAGAACAGCCTGTAACTATACAACACGTGAAGTTTGTTTTAAAAGCAAGCTATTTGCTCCATGTCCTAGAAGTGGAAGCGGACAGAAGGAGCCTTTTTCAAGTAACAGCTTCTTTATTTAATTAGTCAGCCTTCTGATGATTCGAAACTACTGCATTGACAGACTTCCCTCAACCTCAACGTTATTTTTTTACTGTCTAAGTGTTATTTCAGATTGAAAGTTTGATTAAGAAAACAGGGGACGTGTTATTTCTAGGCAGTTATGCGTTGTTTGTTTTTTAATTACACCCCACTCCGGTCTATTAATGCAACGTGATTTACTTCAGTTTTGACCTACTTAATCCCACACCTGCAGTATTTTGAGAATTTACTACCTATTTCTTAATTTGCTTTAGCTTGCAAAATTGCCAAGTTTCATTTATGTCCTCTGGCAATATAAACGCCAGGAGGAAACATTCCATGCTTGAATTACTCATACATAGTTTTGAAAAGCAACTTTTTTTTTTTAAAGAGATCAGTTACACGCTAGCCTTTGCCAGTGATAAAAAGCCCCACATCAATTCAAAACATTGTACTGTTAATCAGATAACCGTGTGGTGGCACATATATATTAGTCCTCTGCTTAAGTGGATTCTACTGCTTCATGAAACATGGTACTTCGTTTTGTTGCAGAGAAAATTCATTCATTGGGTCTAACCTGTTTACTTTCACGACACTGAAAGGCCATTTTTATCAACTGATTACAGCATCTCTTTACTAGGTATAAGCAGAGGTTTTTTAAGTATTCTAGCTTTGCAAATAGTTTGAAATGGATGGAAAATAACATTTAAAAATAGCTCTTCAGCGTTCTGGACTTAAACTTCTTTTAACACTTCCAAACACCTTGAGTCCACTGAGTGACACAGGTTGACCTGATTGATTGGTACAATTTCAGTACTTCAAGAACTGAAGGATATGGCTGATGATGAGTACGTGCATTTCACAAGTTCTTACTGATTATTACTTTACAGGATTATAACCTTTTTCTGAGACAGACTAATGCCAGCCTAGTAAACTCTTTAAAAGATGGATTTCTTCCAAGTCCTACTGTGTGTGGGTAAAGACAGGAAAAAAAGCTACAGAGCAGCAGGAGATATGACAGCATTCATCTGCATGAGTTTTGGATGACCACAGATAGAAGAATTTTGATTTGTAAGCCACAATTAAGAAATTCTAGAACTATTTTTTATGGACAGCATTCATCATGTCATCTGGTTCATATTTTCCAGGACGAGTAACGCAAACTCAGGGCTGTGGTAACATGCCCATGTCTGACTACAGTGTTAGAAGGTCACATGTTAGTGGATGGAAGAGCAGTTAAGGGTTAGAGTGGAATCTAAACCGGGATTTTGCAGCTGAAGCAACTGGGAAACAGGCCAAAGTTTCTGCTTTCCTACCTTTCCTGCCTTTTTCTGTGTGCTCCCACACACGTAAACAGCCAACAAAAGATTCTGGATCTTGAACATCAATCAGTGTGAATAGTTCCGAAAAGCAACAAGCATTGCAGAGAAAGCTGCTGAGATGTACAACTGATGGGATTTGGATGGGTTGGAATAGGGAAGGCTAGTTTTCTGAAATCCTACAAAAACCACCAAATGTCTTCCAGACATTCCCCTGGAAAGGTGTAGCTCATTTGCAAGTCTGCAGATGAGCTTCAGTTCATCTCATCCACTGGACAAAGATTACATATTAAACAGTTTCTCTAACTAGAACTTAAAACTGTCACAACCGTGGGCTTTTCTGGCTGCCTGCTAGAATTGCTGGTGGTCAGCCACTAGTGGATCCAGCCCATAGCCTTTGCCTCTCCCGTCTCATACCCTCTCCACCTAATTTAATTCTGAAGCGTAGCTGCAGAAGGACCTAAAGCAACTGTCATAAGCACTTTGTTAGACACTCTCTAGTTGTACAAGTCAGGCCTAACCCCTGTGTTACTGCCCCGATTCATCCTTTTCCTGACTCGCTTTCCAATTAAGAGAAGAAACACTGAATTCCCTGAGGGGGCCTTGGGTCCTCTGACGTTCCTGCTTGCAAACCTTGATTTCTAAAACGTACATGTGGCATGAACAACAGACCAGGTGCCTCCATACGAGATAAATTCAGTGGGTAACATGGAGAGGAGATACCAGAGACCGGGGAAAAGAGAGCAATGCATCTGATGAAACAGACGCATTGCTCAATGTCATCCAACCTTCCTCATACCCACAGGAATCCTTGGCCTAAACCGACATTCACTTTAGAGACAAATAAAATTAATCTTTCAGGCTTGCATAACATGAGAACTGAGATAACTTTACAGTGTTGAATCTGTTTGCGTTGCTGAGTGTACGAGCATTCAGATTTATGCCGCAAATCAAATCCCTGGTGTCCCTCTCTTCCCTCTCCTGAACCCAGCCTGCTGCTCAGCCCTCTCCCATTTGTATGCTTGTTAGGTACCATGTGCCAGTGTTTGCCTTTGAAGTTTTTGAAGGAAACACTCCAGTAAACATCGCAAAGACTAGAGGCTTAAATTCTGCAGTGCAGTGTGCTGTCCAGATGTTAAAAACGGCAGGATGAAAGCTTCACGCAAGTCCTCCAGCTCGCTCCCTATGCGCGCACACACACACGCGCACACAGAAGTCAGGTACAAGGTGTCCGCAGCCTATTTTTTTTGTCCCCATTACCAGAGGTTTTCGTCACAAATCTCACATACAAAATCAAAAGGAATTCCTCAGACGAAATATGCCACTTCAAGAGGCTCGCTGGTTATCTCAAGGCAAAACGCGAGGACACACATAAGCACACAGTATCCTTGTTTAAGCAGAGAGCGTGTTACTCGATAAGATAGACCCTGTGCTTCGTCTCTCAGCTGAAGGCTTTTTCCTGCCTCCTCGTGTTGCTCTTTAACTACTGGCAAACAGCAGGCAACAATTGCTGTAAGGAATCACTCCAAGCCTTACAACGTAAAAAGCTTTTTAGTTCTCCACGAGATGCTGCTCAAGTATTTTTTTCTCCCTCCGCATTTCAGTATTTAAGCCTTCAAGGTAGTATAAAGGGAATGTATCACACTGGGATTATGACACATATTGTGGATATTCTTGCACAGTTCTTCCTAGACAACTTTCATTTATATCCACCCAAGACTTTCAGACATTGCCAACGTGGTAAGGCACATCACGGTATCTCACGTTCCTTCTCTAAAAACCCCTCACGGAGGTTGCTAAAACAGAGTAACTATACACAAATCAGGTTAAAAATCCATAACCCACGTCTGGATTTTGTCACATCTGTTCTAAGAGAAAAGGGGAAAACTCATCGGGGAGACCACGTGAAGGTCACCACTCCGGTAGCTGCAGCATTCAACAAAGCACCTAATTAAGACCCTTGCTCTGCGCGAACCATCAGGCATCAATCAGGACTTCCACGAAACGTGTGGGGCAGGAGGGGGAGGCACTCCGGGCAAGGCCGCGCCGCCGCGGCTTCTCCTCCAGCCCGGCACGGTTAGGAGTTGTACAAGTGTAGTGTTTGGAGAAAGGTAGAGAAGCGTGACAGACACAAGCAGAGAGCTCCTACGAGTGTGAGCTGAGCACTTTCAGAGAGAGGTCAGGCTTTCAGAGATGTGTATTTTTTAAACGAGTTCGACCATCAGCGCGATTACACAGAATTCTTAGGGTGGAGGGGGGAAAAAAGTGTTTTCAGAAAAAGTGATACACAAAAAAAGATGAAAAAAGGAAAACTTCCAACTTACCCTTGCTGATCAGCAGTGAAACTGGATCAGAATACTTCTTTGGAGGGTTAAAGTAAAATGGAAGAGCACGTTCAGGCACTCAGACCTGTCTATTTAAACTTTAAAAGCCTACTGCTGTTTTGTATTTTTCATCCTTCCTTCCCCACTAATGAAAGAAAAGTGCTG